GGCCCTGTCAAGATGGCGGAGGGAAGGTCAGAGGGAGAGACTAATCAGGAAGGAGGCTAATGACAGAAAAAACAAGAGATGGTGGGGGGCAAGACTGGGTGTGGGGCAGGGTGGGATTGGCAGAAGATTGGTCTAGCCAGAGGGATGTATTTGAGATCAGATAGAAAGGTCAAGGGGGAAACTGTGAGGAAGAGCTTGGGATTCTACTGTGGGCAGCCAGATACATGACTCGGTGGGAGTGCAGAAGGCACATGGGTAGAAAGAAAAGGCAACATTGCACTCGGAAGGGATGCAGGGCCTGGCCGTGCACAGAGGGGGCATCCTGCTCATTTTGATTACACATTCAATCAATGAAAGTGCTCGGGTTTGTTGGTTTACAGTGGGAGCAACAGTAGAGACATGGCAAAGGGGTGCTGGCATCCAGAAGAAAGCTGGGCACTGGAGACTCAGACTTGAGGTCTACTTGTATGGGGACTGCAGCTAGAGACCCAGAGGCAGCCACTTTCTGTGAGTGGAACAGGCTGTGTATGTGCCGAGAATGGGAAGGAGACTGTGAGGGATGTGGAAGTTGGCACAAACCCAAGGAGACTGAGAGTGGAGTGCAGTTCCAGAAGTCGACAAGATATGTCATCAGAGACAGTTGGAGAAATAACTGCTGACTTCTCTTAGCAGGGATCCCATAGGATCCAGTAGAGTCACCTAATATCGTGGCTCATCACACGAGATAGGGACATGGAGGAGAACTTGTTGGGAACACAGGAAGTGATTTATAACAGTTTTAAAGAGTGGGCCCAAGGTTGGGAGTTGAGTACTATAACATGCACGTCATGGGTGATTTTACAACATCCTGTCACATAATTCTGGAAGCTAGGGAACGATTGTGACTATGCCAGAGCTGTTCCTGGTATTGATGTGCTTGGCGGACCGTGCTGGATGGGAGGACACTGTGGAAGGTCCATGAGAAGTGCTTGGTGCACAGGGAGGGAGCTCCCATCTCCGAGCGACAGTACACGAATGCCTGGGTTGTGGTGGCGAACAAGATGGGAGGGAGGTATGGTGTGTGTCTGTCTAGGAGGGTGTCTGTCTGGGGTGGATGGAGACATTGCTTGTCTGAAGTGAAAGTCCAGTGCAGGGCAAGTACGTGGCCAGGTGCTGGCATGTGACCCCCAGAGGGAGCCCAGGTAGATCTCTGAGAAATAGTCACCCAAATAACATCACTTATGGAGCCAGGGTACGAGGTCAGGGTGTTAGAAATGACCAGTCAGTCAAAGAATGACTGTTCAGGTCCCAAGAAATTCCAGAAAATGCCTTGGTGCATGTAGCCGACACCATGCTCAATGGTACATGCAAATGCAGTCATTATTCCTGAAAAACTGGGGGTCACTTGGGGGCCAGCAGATGATGTGGCCTCTCAGCTTCCAGATTTTGAAATAGCAGACTAGACACAATTTGCTGTCCTCCAGTTACGTGCATCTGCCAGAGTTGCACTGGAGTTTCCAGCCTTTTAAAGAGAACTTCCGCACGGTGGCTGCTCAGAGTGTGCATGTCCGGAGGCCCACTGCTCTCCTTTAGCTTCCAGCCTCTGCTGTGCTCTGTTGCAAGACCCATTTGGATTCACTGCTATAAAAGAGAACGCCAATCATCCACAATGCCACAGTTTTCTGGAGAGACCCGCTTTGGGAGGGAAGGCTATTGGAGACCCTGAATCTAATGTGGCATAACAATCTTAAATATTCCAGACAGGAAAAGTTTTTTGTCAAAGGCTTTGACAGTTTAAACTTAGAGCTTCAGCAAAACTTTTAAACTTTTAAACTTTGAACTCATTTGAACCTCTGGTGATTTATGAATTATTAAATGTACCACTGCAAAGCCACGGACTTTCTCTTTCTACTTAAAAGCAACTGAGAAGGTATGGCTGTGGAGGATCCAAAAGGAATGGGGGTTATCAGAGCCCCAGTCTTCCTGCGTGACTAAAAGCCAATTATGGAAAACTGTTCAGAGACAAAAGACCCAAGTGGAGATGCACCCTGTGGAAGAGGAGGGAGATGCAAAAGAGAAAGGCTGAAATCAGACAAGGGAGATACAACAGGACTTGAGGTGATGATATAATCACACATGTATTGGAGGTAAAATATGCATCACATACAGTTTGCTGTCTTAACCATTTTAAGTGGACAATTTAGTGACATTAAAGACATTCACGCGATTGGACGATCATTACCATCTATAATCTTTAGAAGTCTGCTTTCTTAAACACTAGACCCTTGTTCCTCTTCCCTGCTCTCCTAACTACAATTCCTTTCTTTTCGTGGGGTGTGTGGTGTGTGGTGTGTATATGTCTGGTGTGGTGTGTATGGTATATGTGTGTGTATAT